TTAGATCTTTTGTAATAACTCAACTAAACCCTGATCTTTCCCCTGATGTGGTTTTCTTTTTTTCTTTTTTTTCCTCTCTAGGAAGTTAGGAGCCAGTAGAGAAATTTTCTGGTTGGTGACGACGAGGTCTGCTCCCATTCGAAAATTTCTTCTCCTGGCTCCTTTTCTTCCTCTCTACATGTTCATTTGTATATATTCATCACAGTTTTGATTTTATAGTTTTATATATATATGAGCAGGGGTTCTCACCCTGCTTCTTCCTTTCAAAAAAAAAAAGAATGAAAAATGTAAATTGATTACTACACGTAAGTTGTTGTGAGAAAAAGGGAAAGAAATAAGAGAATGAAGTTTATTCTATATTGTCTAGTTATAATGAAAAATACAAAAGCAAATGAAGCAAAAGGTGAGAAAACATTATTCTTTATCAATTTTCTCTTCGCTAATGTACGAAATAAGAGAAAATATAGAAGTTTAGATAACTATGGGTTTGGTCCAAAAATTACCTTAGTTACATATATAGTGTAGATCTAAAAAAATTTCAATAATCTGACTCTTCTGCAAATTTCTCTCCAATTACTCAACTTCCAAAATAGAAAAATAACTTACACAACTAGAGCGTTTGGCAACCGTGGCGTTTTTGTCGTTTCTGTTTTTGTTTTCAACGAAAACAATAAAACGCGTTTGGCAATCAGGGCGTTTTTTTGACTTGACTCTTTACAAAATCCAAAAAAATAAACACTTTTCTTAAAACACTAAAAATGTGTTTTGAGATTCCATTTTTTCATACTAACTACCGCTGCCAGCCTGACCGCCGGCCGCCGCCGCGTCGTCGCCCGCCGCCGCTGCATCGCAACAGGCCTGCCTCGCATCCGCTCATTCATCGCACCGCTCCGCCGCCGTCGCCACGCCCGTCGTCGCCGTATCACCCGCCGCCGCGGCCGCCACGCTGTTGGCCTATCGTACCGCCGCCGCGCTGTCGCCACCCAACGTTGTCCGCCCGCCCGTTCGCTGGCTGTTGTCGGCCCCAGCCAGCCCGCGTCGCCCACCCAACCCACCTAGCGGGTACTGCTCGACCCTGTTCGTGCCCGTGGCCGCGTCCCGCCACGCGCCGCCGACGGTCGCTGTCTGCCCGTCGGCCGGTCGCTGTTCGCCCAGCGCGCGGTCGCCGTCCGGCGCCGCGACGGCGCCGTCGCCCGTTCGGTCGGTCGGTCACGGCGCACGCCAATCACCCGCTCCCCTCGCAACCACCGCCGCTCGGCCACCGCGCGTCGCCCGCCGTCACGGCCCCGGCGCCGTACGGTCGTAGTTCGCCGCCCCGCCCCGTCGTCGTCGCCATCGCCCGCCCCGTGTCCCAGCACCGGCCACCGTCGTCGCACGCCGTTTTTTATAAATAATAACTATAGATTTTGTTTTCAAAACATGTTTGAAAAAACACCATGGCATGGTGTTTTTCTAAAAAACACAACAAAAACAAACACTTCGATTACCAAACACACCTAGGTACCGTTTGGCAAAGAGTTAAGTGAGGGGTTAAGGAGACTTAACCATTTCTTAACCTGCCAAACACAACAAATCTATATAAGGGTTAAAGTGAGTTAACCCTCCATAATTTGCCAAACATAAAAAATATAGAAGGGTTAACTTAACCCCTCTAGAGGGGTTAAAATGAGTTAACCCCTCAAAATGAGGGGTTTACTAATACTCCTATTTAGATGGAATAAGAGTTAACCCTTCTAATTATAAAGAAAATAGTCAAAATCATTGTTATTCCCAAACACTAAAACTGATCATAAGGGCTAAAATAAAACTTATTTAACGGGTTAATAATTTAGTCTTTCGGATTATCAAATGGGCTAAGTACATTAATCCTTCTCTTTAACCCCTCTTCATTAACTCTTTGTCAAACGGGGCCTAAGGGATTATACTCCAAATAAACAGGAACTGGATCATACTCCAATCTAAGGTTCCCATAAGGGTCAAGGTCACGATCCTTTTTTTTCCAAGTTGGCATCAGATTCGAATCGGGGTACAAAGTATTTCTTACTATCATTATTTTTTGATAAAAACAAAGTATTTAATTAAGACGTGCGTTTTGAACTCATTTTTTGCTGGTTTCGTCAAGGTTTGTGTTGGTATCATGTCATTAATTTTTTGTATAACTTCATGAGATTTAGATAGGCTTAGAGATCTATCATCATTAAATATTAGGTTTTATCATGATTAGAAGTTTGTATCCTATTCTAATTAGAAAGTTTGGCTAGGGAGGAGTTTTGGTTTCTCTATATATATTATTTTATTGTTGGAGGAAAAACAAAAGAAGAAGAGAGAGTCAATATTCTTATAATTTAGGGTTAGCAGAGGACATAGCCTGATTCAAGAATATTATACAATAGATGAATGTTTTGTAGCCTTTGTCCGTGTAAAAGATTACAATAGTGGAGAGAGCTCGCAGCCTTTGTCCATTCAGAAGATTGTAAGAAGATGATTTTAGAGAGAATATGATAGTTGATTATGTATGTTATGTTGAGAGATTGAGAGATGAGAGTTGAGTAGTTCCTCTTATAGTTCTCTCTAATATATAATGAGTTTCTCGTATTGTTGCCCTGTGGATGTAGGTTGAAGTTGGTCGATCGAACCACATAAATATCGGTGTTTATTTTTCTTGATTGTGGTTGTTTCTATCCTGTTTATTGTGGGTTGGCTATTAAGTTATGAAGATCGTAGTACACGGGGAGACTAAAATTTTCCAACAAGTAATATCAAAGCTATGGTGATGAATCTGAAGTTAGTTTTCAAGATAGACGTGGTGCGAAAGTGAAGAAAAAAAAGGAGGAGAAGCGTTGCACGTGGGAAGAAGAGAAGGGGGCTTGACTTAGGCGGGACCACTAGAAGGAATTATGTGCATGGTTCGTGAACAATTCAAGTGGGAATAAAACTCTTGTGAGGATCCGATGTATGGTTGAAATTGGAGTTTGGTGTATGGATTTATTTTTAAATTCAGATCAACGGTTGAGATTGATTGGTGTATAGAATGATGAATCGGAGGCATATTTTAGCGATTCAAGAGTTGATTTTTTAGGTTTTGTAATGCTCTTAACGCGGTGGAAGGGTCTAACTTTCAGATTATGCTCAAATTGATCAGAAAGTATAGAAAAGTTCTGACGGTGATGGCGAGACAAATTTTATGGCATATAGGGCAAACAAATATGCAATAGATGAGACTGGTGTAGAGAATTAGACGTGAGTTAGTTGGTGTGTAGCATCGTGGATGATGGTGCCAGTTTAGGTGGAGCTTGCAAGGGCATGGCCGAGTGACACACATGTTGATAAAGATAGTGGCATTGGTCTTGTATGGAGTTGTAGGAGAACAAATGGTTATATTCAGTCTAAGCCAAGTGATGGAGGAGATAGAGGCATTCGGCTCATAGTGTGGAGTAGGAAAGGTACACTGATACAGGTTGAGAGGAGCGATACAGGTGGAGCATAAGGACAACAAGCGGGGGGAGGCTATTGTCAGGCTCATGTTGGGAGGACATGCGTAGTTGATTTGCTTCTAATGTTAGAGGTGGCGAAGATGGTGTGCACAAGAGAGGTGAAGGTGCCATAGCGAGGCAGATGAAAGTGAGGGTCACGGGGCATCCAGGTTGGAGTGCAGTATGTTCCAGTTAGGAGTGTGGGTGCTATAGTTGAAGCGCAAAGCAATAGAAGATGCCGGAGGGAGACATAAAGTTTCAAGGCGTAATGATATATCTTCAAGGTAGTTTGGAATCAAATCCAAGATGGAGATTGTTGGGATTGTATCTTTGATTCTTTGTATAACTTCATGAGAATTAGATAGGGTTAGAGGTCTATCATGATTAAGAGAATTGGTCACATCATGATTAGGAGTTTGTATCCTATTCTAATTAGGAAGTTTGGCTAGGGGTAGGATTTTGGTTAATATCTATTCTTCTATTATTGGAGGAAAAATAAAAGGAAAGGGGAGAGAGAGAGAGAGAGAGAGAGAGAGAGAGAGAGAGAGAGAGAGAGAGAGAGAGAGATTTAGGGTTAGCAGGGGGCGTAACCTGATTCAAGAATATTGTGCGAGAGGCGAGAGTTTCGTAGTCTTTGTTCGTGCAAAAGATTAGAATGAGAGGGTTTTGGAGAGAATATGAGAGTTGATTATGTATATGAGGTTGAGAGATTGAGAGACGAGAGTTGAGTGGTTCTTCTTGTAGTTCTCCCTTATACATAGTGGATTTCTCATTTTGCTGCATCGTGAATGTAAGTCGAAGTTGGTCGACCGAACCACGTAAATATCGGTGTTCATTCTTCTTGATAGTGGTTGTTTTCAATCTTATTGATTATGAGTTGGCTTCCGAGTTGCAGAGATCATAGTATGCGAGGAGACTAAAATTCCCTCAACAGTTTGGAATATCATAAATTTTGTCCTCGGCCTGACTAATTCCGGTCAAATAAAATAGAACTTTGCCTGACCAACTCCTGGTCAAATAAAATAGAACTTATTTGTCTTTTTTTGAACTCACGCTACATTCATGGGATATAGTTTAAGCACGGAAAGTCACAGCAGGGGCAAGGGCTGCCGAAAGCAGTGTTTTAAAATCAACCAAATACTTTCCTTATACTAGCTTGTATACGGTATTTGAGGGAATCCAATACTCATATATTACTCTATTTTGTTCGACACCATATTTACTCCAATCATTAATACTTCATAAGTCGTATTTCTAAAGTTAATGCCATGTCAAAACTTATTTGAACGAAGGGACTCCATTATGTTCCTAACAAATCTTGATTTTGGTTCAGATAGAGTCAAGGTTTTTTTTTAATCAGATCGTCACTTAATAGCTAATAGACACAGAAATTTATTGCTTCACAAATGAACTAAATCGCAAGTATACTCCTATTTAACACGCACACCATATATTCTAACCCACATGCTTGACAGGAAAACATCAGCACAGAATGCTCATGATGTTCTTCTCTACACTCCAAATTTGTCAAGTAACAGGCAACTCTTGAAATTATTATAAATAAAACAACGAAAAATAGGTTTATTAAAAGGGTATCTCTTCCTCTTGTTATTTACCATGGTCGAGTTATTTGGCCATCTATTCCCACAATTTTCGGTAATTTAGCATAGACTGGGCAAAATATTTCCAAACATTAAAATGACAAACATTCAAACAGCCTGAAGGTAAGCCTTGGATATAATTAACGTATCAGCTACTGTCCTCTTCCAGTTGAGCGATGATGCTCACGAACACTTGGAAGCCTTGGCACATATCAGAAAACAGGCAGTACTCATTCTTCGCATGGTATGTAGCCATTAGCCCTGCAGCAGACGACATTTAACAAATTAGTGTATTCTTGTTCCAAAGTTGAACAAGTTTACCTCAGAGGAGGTTCCAAATCCAGAGCATTCCGACGACCACGCCTGATCGATAGGCTGTGTGCACACAAAGTTTAGTCCATTTTGAGATAATCCCAATTTTTTGAAGATGTCACTTCACCCCCAGTGGTCTTCCAGAAAATCCCCACAATGGTTTAAACTTTCTCAACTTGCCCCCAACCATCATATTGGGGTTTTTTTCTGGAAACTTTCAGTCAAAAGTTCATGGGGGTTTTCTGAAAAAAATGTTGAGAGTTGGGAAAGTTTACCCTGTAAATTTTTTGATAGTTCCAGCATTAGCACAAAAAAGGGCATGCTTGGTTACTTTTAAGAGTTTTAGCGTAATAATTCTTACTTGGAAATATTTAAAAAGAAAAAAAAAGTTCAAATTACTTTATAATGAAAGCCTTCAAATGGTTTATTATCCGTTGAATGATAAAAGGAAACATAATTAAATTATGAATGGTTTTCCATCAATCACTACTTTTGAGGAAGATCAAGCATACAAAAGTTCAGAGAGCAACCGCGAGCCGTTTTGTCATCTTTGGAATAGTTAGCAAGCTTTTTCCAGCGAGAAGCTACACATATTTTTCTAGAAAGAAAATCCCTCTTCCACTCATCAAATTGAATGTTCGATGCTAACATGCTGAATGCAAGAATCCCTCTCTGCTCGTTCATCTCGTACTACACAAGGTCACAGGACTAACTTTTAATTCGTAAAGCATGGTATAAAGCATAGGATTTTGTGCGGACGTTTTACAAACTTTTTGGAATCGTCACTCAAATAAGGGTACAACCAAAGTTGCAACCAGAAGCCAAGTTTTTCTTAACTAATAGTAAAAGATAAAAAAAAGAACTATATCAAGAACCATATCCAGAAGTTTGAACATCAAAACCTTCATCCTGTCACATGAAATTGAGTTAATCCAAGGAATGACTAGGAAATAAGATCATCTTCTCCAATGAATAATTCTCAAACCTGCAATTCTCGAATCAGTGGCAAACTTCCAGTTATGGAGTAAGGCTTCACATGGCCAACCACTAACTCTGTTGCTTTGCACAACACATGGAAGCCCCGAGAATCAAGATTACAAGCAACTCCCGTCATTATAGACTCGTCAAAACTGATTGAAAGCCTACGAGGACAAAGATTTACAGAAGTGCTTCAGTATGTTAAATGAAGGGCGCTTATATGTCAGTACAAGCTGGTGGACACGGATGGTGGATTGGACCAAAACTCTAACTTATTTGGATATATCCTTATTCCTTATCCACAAGTTCGATCCATTTGGTATTCGATCAGAGTAAAATCAAGAAGTGCACTTTGGTGGGTGGATGGATCAAACTTTAGCAAGCTAATAAACCCAAAAAAGAATATGAGCAACGAAATAAAGATAATTAGCAAAGAGTTGGTTTAGCATTAGAAAAAGATAATTTGAAGAACTGACAGTTCAACTAATGAATGTGATCCGGTTTTTGTCTAAATAATAGACAAACATCAAGTTTTCATTTTGATCCAGATCCATCTAATTCAATCTGTTTGGAGTTTTAGGATTTTTTTTTTTTTTTTATTTTTTAGAATCTTTCTTCAGAAAATCATATAGTAGGTATAAATTGGTTCCAAATAAGGATAATAATATTTATTAAACAAACAATACATACCAATCCAACAGAAGTTATCTGGCCTGCAATTTACAAAGTAGTTAAGATCACCAATTCACAGGAACTGCAAGTATTTACTTTAAAGAGAAATGGAAACATGCAAGCACTCTAGGAAACTTGAGAACATCTAATTTGTGAAAAAAAATTCTCATAAGGAAAAATGGAAGGCAAATGAAAAGAGCGGTGCAAGAATAATATATGAAAAAAAAATGTGTTACTCTCACCTTCCCGTCAAATTTTCATCCGGAAGGACATATTTTGACACTGGCCCTTGAGTGGGTAGTTTATCTATATTAGCATTTATGTCATCTACATATTCTTGCAACTTCTTAACCACATCTTTTGTGCTGCAGCATACAAAAAGAAAAAATATTCAATTTTTTTTGTTCTAAGATAATAAATAAATTCAAAAAAGGAAAAGGAAAGAGAAGTAAAAAGAACAATATACGGAGGGACCCACCTATAAAAGGGAGTTAACCTGCAACAAGACACAACATCATGTCAGATACATCCTTCATTAATCATTAAAAGTTGTAGAAATAAAATATATAGAGGTGTATATTCTTGTTAGTTCTTAGTACATTTTTACAATTGCCTATCTTGATTCAGATGAAAACTGCTGACTTTTCAATCAAATTCGCAGATACACTTTAGGCAAACCCTAAACAGAGGGAGCCACTGGGGTAAAAAGAATAACTAGCAGAAGAACAAATGGTTAAAGGATGCATATGTATGGAAAGGTAATAACTGCCTGATAAACAAGGTTCTACTAAGCATATTTTTAAAATGAAATAAGAAAAAAAAATCTATTATACAAGAGTAGAACAGAAAATAGCTAACTCATCTGTATTTTCTTCCCACAAAAAAAAAAGCACAGAAATTTTACTTTGATCTAATTTTTACTATTTGTGGATTCACTATCATTTATTTGTGAAAAATGTGCTCTTGTTAAGTATTTCCGCACTCAGCTCTGAGAAGATATGATCTATTCAAATAAGTAATGTAGGTAACTGTAAATTAACAAATTAACAATATATTATTTCTATTCATGTCTGTAATGTGACAAACAGTAGGAACAGGTATTTCAACTCTTTTCTCCTAATGATGACTATGGAAGCAATTTTCACGTCTGACTGAAACTTAAGACAAACAAATATCAACAAAATATAATGTGAGATCCTTTGTATATGATATCAACAACACACCTTACATCCCCTGACACCGTGCATTCAGCTGGAATCTGGTTGACCCCTCCTCCTGGATCTGCAATGCACTAATGTCAATACAGGTGGGGACATTTACTTCAAGTTCTAACCTAATTCTTCTCTTCAGACGGACTGTTTAGCCATCTAATATTCACTGGATGAGGACTTACAACTCCACTGAGTAGGTTTCATAGTTGATGGGGTGGCAAAGCCATAGACCTGTTCTTGTGGATGTGGAGGGAAGTCCCTATAGAAACGCAGTTGTATCTCCTTAAGTGCTTCCATTGCCATCTCCAAAGGGTTGATAGCCTGCAGTGTCATCAACTATTAGTCCGTATCCAAAAAATCTAACATCTATAGACTCCTCATTTATCCATGTGATAATCTTTGTTTCAAATGAGATACAATTTGCAAATTTACCAAATTAATCTTGGTAAGGACTTAAAACATGCTACCAAGAATTTGGCAAGTATTGGATATTAATTGTCTCATGTTTTTTTGATTAATTATGATTGTAGTTAGATCCATGCTTTTACAGAGACATCATACTGAAGAAGCAACACACAATTGAAATCAGTTTCCTCATTATTATTGCTAAGGCTTCACATTAGGAGTATTGTTTCAGAGTTGTGTGATCCTCTTACGATCTACCAGTTGAGCACCTAAAATCCGTCCGTACACACGCACGCACGCATTCATGCACGCACAAGCCTGCACGCACACATACGTGTGTGTGAGTCACAGATAATCTATTCAATGAGGGGCAGTCATTGCAATCTTCTGCTCTCATTTCTGGCATGTAAACTCAAAGAATAATTGGAAAAATCCCATATTGGGCAATACTTTGTGAGCAAGACCACTGTGGAAAAGCTTCCCTGTAGCTCGAAGTCTCCATGCTATCATGCCTCCAGTCCCTATACATGGTTGTTTGTCTGCAGTATCAATCCAAAACCTAGGAAAACCATAAAAAACACTCCCATCAGTACACAGAAGGTTCAAACAAAATAAGTAATCACCATATAAACCTGGACAGCCACTTACAAAGGTCCGTTCTTCAGCTTATCAAGAAGCTCATCCTTAACAAGCGCATCAACCCCAATCCCAAGTACAGATGAATTCTCTTCATTTGCAATAAACACAGCCACTACTGTGCTTTTTAGAGCTGGCTTTGTCTCCCCCAACCTTCTCATCAGCTGTGTCACGAGTGCCACATGTCCCAGACAATCTGTTGTTCCACGTCCTCTCAGCTTATCCCCATCCACACTTAGAGAAAATGGATCAAAATCCTAAATGTTGACAATAATGCATGAATGCTTATGCAATATTCAATTTTTTTTGTTTCTGCTGATAAATAAAAATCATGATAAACAAAGACATAAGTATATACTCCAGAAACTCATGTGATGCAAAATAAAAATTTTTAATTGTCATTGATGAATAAGAAACCACTAAAATTATACCAAGGAACATCTACTTCGAATTTTCATCACCAATAGAAAAGATAGTGTACAAAAATTGCTCCATTTTTCCTATTTGTGAATGAAAGCTGAAAAGGCAGTATAAAAATTTACAAATAATTTTCTTCAACACATATGAAGCCATCTCTATTAAATTGGAGGAAATATCTTTTTTCTATCCACATATAAATAAAATCAGCATCATCAATGCGCAATGCGGGGCGCAAAGTCTCTTTACACATGTATGTGCAGGGCTCAATGAGGTGCATGTGCCCGAATGAAACGAGGCACACTGCACACACATATTTTTCCAAAATAGATAATCAAGTTTGAAAGAACATCTTACAAATTTTCACATAAAAAATGTCAAGATTTATAATATTTACTACCAAATCACAAAGTAAAGTCTTAATGCATAATTCTAAAACACCCAACATAGCAGTAAAGTTCATAAATTTTCCAAATCAAAAGTCAAATCCAGGAGTACTATAAAAGCAAAATCAAATAGTAAACAAGAACGAGTTAGGGTCTTCAATCAGGCTAGTAAAATCGCCTAATGGGTTTATACTTCTTTTTAGGATATTGATTATCGGGTATAAAGACCTGATTGAAATGTTTAAGAACAAAAATATACAAGGCTATGCCTTGCATCCACCCTGTGTGAATTGCCCTTGTGTAGGACACTTGCGAGGCAAAAAAAGCGTTGCTGCATCAAATGTGGGGTGCTTCGCCACCGCCCCGCATCGCAAGGCGCAATGAGGCGTTCACCTTTGATAACACTGAATAAAATAGTCTACAATTGATTAGACAATCTCCACAAAAGGCTTCCACTTTCCAACTTTTCAAAATTTGATCATAAGCATTTTCAAAAACGAAATTGCCAATATTTTGTTAGCTACTTGTGATGGGGAATCAAGAAATTTAGTTTACATGACTTTGATAACATATGGGTACTTGTTAGGTAATACTTGTGGATCCACTTACATCTGTAAGTGAAGCTCGAGATTTTCTATAAACTTGAATTCACTTAAGAGACTGTCAATTCCATCCAATTCTAGGAGTTTCTCAGAGAGGGAACAATTTCTATTAACTAATCTAGCTTGAGTTGAACTTTTTATACATGCAAACAAAGAATAATGAATCAAACAAGTTAATTGGAAGTCACGAAATAGCATAAATTAGGGTTTTAATTGCAGCAGTTTCCAACATAATAATTCCTGAGAACAACTGCATTTTAGTTACAAGTACCACGAAACTTCAAATATTGTAACAGACCACTCTATATGCTCTCTTTGTATAGAATCTTCATTGTCTAGAATAGACAGACTTGTTCTGATTAACTTTACTTTCTGCCATGCCATTGTAGATGCTCCCTTTTCATACAATACCAGTTCAGATCTGAATATAATTGATAAGATAAGAGGTTTCTTTTGAAATGCGAGTAGGGAAATAGCTTACTATGCACGCATAATTAATTAGGAGAATGTGTGTATGTCTAAAAGACAGAGCTTACTATACACGCTTAATTAATTAGGAGAATATGTGTATACGGACTGAGGGTGATTAGTTTAAGAGACATGGATCTTGCATTATTATAAGCATGGCAAAGGAAAATTTTTTTACCAAACAAGATTTATTGTGGTGTCAACTTGTCAGACATCAGTACTGCAATGGGAAAATTTTCCAGGATTACTCAATTGTTTCTTTGAATCCATCTTTTTAAAAAGGGATTTTGAGGCATAAAATCCCTTTCTATTTAGTAATCATGTCAAGCAATGCGGGCCAAGTCTTCTGTTAGACAAAGGTGTTCAGAAAGGCAACAATATGCTATATTTTCACAGCTTTTTCAATCAGCTGCCAACAAATTTGCTTCTAAGTTCTAATACAAACTATGGGAAATGATCAGGATATGTGGATTTAGAGATTATATTTTAGAAGAAATATTATAAATTTCTGGTTAATGATGTTGTAAATTGTTGCATATAATAAGTGATTTTAGCACCGGACAAAGGTGTGATAAGATGATGGTTATGCAGTAATTTGGTTTCCTCATTTAGACTTTTTACTCTTCTCCGTTTTCTATTTGGTAAATTACACTCAAGTGCAAGTTCTTATACACATTACAGCTAGAAGAAGACTGAATGTGAACATATCTTGAATGGTGAAGGATTAGTACAAGGTGTCACATGTGTTCTTTGTCAGGCAGGACAATATTCCCATGTTCATCTTTCCTTGAAGGGCAGATTTATTTTCTCAATTTGAGCTCCTGTTCTGCGTGATTTGGAAATAGAGACCTTATTTGGGGATTTATCAACTTTAATGGACTTTCTGGACACTGCAATATTCCTGCAAATGTTAGAATGGAATTGAATATACAGCCATGTGTATAGCCCTACAAATTTGGAATGAGCATATTAAAGAGTTTGTATAACAAGCCATGTGTATAGCCCTACAAATTTGGAATGAGCATATTAAAGAGTTTGTATAACAAGTTTGGGATTATTCTAAACAGTTTTGGATTGAGCATATTAAAGAGTTTGTATAACAAGTTTGGGATTATTCTAAACAGTTTTGGATTCTGTTAATGCCTTCATTGCATTTTGGCTAGAAAATCCATCAGCTAAAAACAGTCAGAGAAGTTTCTAATAGTTGCCCACAGGGTGCTGCTGAAAAGAGCGCTGGAGGCATCTAGAAGCAATGAGGAAGTTACCAGTTCAGTGGGTTGCGATGGTTCTTCGCAGATGGCAGAACAAAAAATCAGATCGAAGTTGTGATATTTGAGTAAGATGTTAGTGGTGCTGATGTTCATCTTGGTTGCACACTTTGTTCTAGTCACCCAGATTGTGTGCAGGGACAGAGTCTGTAATGTTTTGGGGACTGGATATTTCCGAGTGCATCTTAGTTGTGTTTCATAGACTGATCCATATAATTTTATTAAGAGAGTTTTGGTTGATCACCATTTTCGCTTTTTTTTATCTAGCAGTGGTTTGTTGAATAATATATATATATATATATATATTATATTATATATATATATATATATAATATATATATAATATACTATATACACACACACACCATGCACACACACACACATATTATATATATATAATATATATATATATATATATATATATATATATAATATTAGTATATATAGTAAAACACTCCTATCCACATTAAGTGGATATGAGGCATTGTCACCAAACTTTTTATCCACTCATCTTGTCTCAAGATTTGTGCATCAAAAGATGCACAAATCTTAAAGATTCTTCAAATCTAATCCGGATCCAATGCAATATCAACGGTTAAAAAAAAGTTGCTGGTATGACTTTTATTCCTATCCACTTAAGTTGACATAAGCTTTTACTTATATATATATATTATATATTATATATATATATTATATATATATATATATATATATATATATTATATATATATATATATATATATATGATATATATATATATTATTGTAGATGAAGTTGGCTGGGCTTCTAGTAGTTTGAGAGTCTATCTTTTCTCTCAAAAAGCAGTAATCTAACGGAAGCAAGTGCATTGCAAATATGTGACTATTCCCACGCTAATGTGCTAGCAGGCTTAACATGTCAGTCTTCAATTAATCACAAACTAGTCCCACACTACAAGTGCATTGATGTTATTCTTCAACTTCGAAATCTCTACTCTCTATCAAATGCTTGTAATCTCCATTCTCTATTGATCAAATAAAGGCTAAACACCAATCATGCACATTACAGCGCCGAAACTTTAGACTGCTCCCCTTAATAGACTTCGTAACATAATCATCACAACCCTTACCATTATACCCAAAAAATAAATTAATTAAATAAATTAAAATCTTTATACTATAAACCCTAATGGCAATATGTCCACTAAAAATACAAATTCTTTATACTATTCAAAAAAAATGAAATTTTAAGAAAAACACAGCCTAATTAAGAACAAATCTAAAGGAAAGTTTTCCCTTTCTAAAGGGAGGGGAGAAGGGCGGTGACGGGACTCACCCAAGAAGTGGGATCGACGTCTTGCCGCGGCCGTCGAGTAGCTGACGTGGCGTACGACGAGCGGCCACCACCCGGTGGAGGTGCTGACGGGGAGGAGGGCGTCGAGCACGTGACGGGCGACCCGGTCCTCTTTGGGGATGAGGTCCGGGGGGTTGTTTTGCACGTGCTTCGCCTCGCCGATGAGCTTCGAGAGGAGGCTCACGTAGGATTCGCGCTCCAGAGGGCCTAAGAAATTCTTCAGAGACGAGGACGCCATCGGAGAGCAGGGCTCTTCTTTGTCTGATGGGAGGCGAAAACCCAAAGAAAGAGAAGTATTGACGCAACTCAATGTATCAAAATTGGGCAACTATCTATTAGACCGACGGCCAAGGTTTGCACATAAATATTCTTAATTGTACATGGATGCACTTAAACACAATAAATCCACAAAAGCGAATAACTATAATATTATTACTGTAGCAATACATGCTATAGCACAAAACAGAATACCTTGGTATTTTAAAAATACTGTAGCATTTACAAAAAATTTAGGGTTCAAAAAGGATTAGTGTAGCAGAAATAAAAAAAAAAGATGTGTTTTGCACGGGGTGCACACTAGAATTCTTAATTATACAAGGATGCACTTAAACACCATAAAGATAAAGAATGCATTTAAATTTTGACACCTTCAGCTGCACAACTTAAGGGGTCAGTTAAAGTAGAACTTAAAACTAGAGCTGTGATAATTTATGAGATAAAATTTTATAGGTTTAGTTAGTTAGAACTAGAATTAGGGGAAAATTATATTATGTTAGTCAATTTGCATTGAAATAAAATTAAAATTAAGATAATTGTACAAAATTATCCGTTATTTTTTATTTCTTTATATAAAAGTGAGAGTTCTAGTGTCTCAAATTATCCTAAGTTTTAGCCTACAATTAGTTGGCAAAAAAATAGAATTCTCTTATTTCTTTCATTTTTTTTGCATACTTCTTTCCTTCTCTCCATCCTCTCTCTACCTTCGATGGTCAGCACCATCGTCAGATCATGCCATCAGATTAGATCATCTCTCCTCTTACTCCTCTCTTTATATGTTTTTTTTTCAAATATTATATCTCTCTAATTACTTTAAGTAAAACTTAATAGCACCGTAATTTATAAAAATATAATTAAAATTGTGATATGAAATAAAGAGATTTGGAGGAGTTAACGGAAGAATAAAATAGGAAAAAACATTTTAGACTTGTACTATAATAATAGTTCAAAAATGAAAAAACTTATAAATTATTATAATAGTTACTAAAAATATATTGTAGTCTTACCAAAAGTTATCCCACAACAACTAACATTATAAACAACTACTAATCAATAATAACGAGTTTAAAAATATAGAAGTCAGAGTTATATCATCAAAATACATAAATTATATACTTCTTGATTATACAAATTATCTCATAAGTATCCCACTTAAAAAAATTGTTCTTAACTATCCTACTAAAATATCCAACTTCTTAAAGATTATCCCACTTTAACAATTATCCAAATTCTTATGAAAATATTCAAGGTGGCTAACACCGCCTTAAGAATTTCTCTCTAAAAATTCTCTTGTGACACTCGTATGCTTCTTCAGAAAATTTTAACCATATTTTTTGTTAAATATATTGGTGAACCTATCAAAATGTCATTAAAAATAAGGGATAAAATAGTCTAAAAATAGCATGTGTTATAACACCTAAATTACCAAATATTAATCTTCATAGAGAAGTCGACATGTGTCTTACACTATTCCTAGCCAGACTAATTCAAGATCAAGATAATCTTTGCCTCAGCACGTCCGACTTGATTGGCCGACAACTTGCGTAGCCGAGTTATAAGGCAACACTACTCGGCCAACCCCTCAATTGGCTTCACTAGCGATCTGACTCAGCCCATTGTTCAGTCGATGTCCCACTTAACCGAGTCAAAAGGTGGTACTTCTCGGCCCTGTACTTGACGAGTTGAAGGACGGTAGTTACCTCGAAACCCTCGCCAGCCGATTCCTCTTGCATTAACTACCCTGACAACATCTTCATTGCTCTAGTTTGTATAGTCTTGATGACTCATTGGACCTAGTCAGCACGAACACCTACTATCATTCTTATAATAAATGACCTGGAGACTCACCTCCTTCAGCAACCGACACATGGTACATGTCTGCCGACTCAGCTTCCAAGCTGGACTCAGCCCAAGTTACCTTCTTGCCCCTTAACCCACTATAAAAGAACTGCACAGCATGTCGTAACTCTCTCTAGCCTTTTTTACGTAACTAAGAACTAACTCTATACTTTTCCACTGAAGATCACCTACTGACTTGATCGTCAGAGGAACAATCGGAGAACCCAACTCCGTCCTCTTACGAGTTCCTTCATGTGCAGGGAAGAACAACGAGCAGCAAAACAACTCACCAGAAGGAGTTAGAGGACCCTAATTACTCCACAAACTCTCAAATAACCTCATGTTTGATAACTAAGATCAACAGCATGTGAGTGTCGCATGAGAATTTTCATGGAAAAACTCTTATGTTTGCATATTTAATAATACTAAAGTGCAACTTTTAAAAAGTTTAGGTATATTTAAGTGAAGTCATTTTCAACTGAAATTATTTATGTGCAGCATTGGGTAAAAAATAGGGTATCTAGTGCAATTTACCCTTATTTTTTTTAATCATTTTACTTTATTTTTTAGAAATTCTAATGTGATAATATAACAAGTATCATAGTATGTGGTGACATTTTGGGAATATAAACCTAATGCTAGTCTTCGGATATAAAACTCTCATGGCATATTGTTAGGCAATCTTCTAAAATGGGATCATGAAGGATAGTCATATATTTTAAGTAGAATTCTGTTTGTAAAAAATTTATTTGGAACAGTTTTCTAAGCCAACAAAAAGCACCTAAATTAATCAATTTGGTAAGAACCCTAATTTGATTTCATACCTATCGACACCGCGCGTACGAAAGCTCTATCAGATCATTGATAAAGTAATCTAATAGCCCAAGAAATCTAAGACCAATACTTGAAATTAGATGAAATTCAATAACTTTAAGATCAATATCTTCTACAATATTTTTCACCTAAAAACAAAGATAAAAAATCCTAGCTAGGGCCGACTATATATATAACCTCAGCAGATTTCCTAATACAATAAAAACTTCCTAATCAAACTTTCCTAATAAAAAATAATTTCTAACGGACTCAAACTTTCCTAATAAAAAGATGAATCTAATAGACCACTACTTTAACACAAATCCCTCTCTTGTGCAAACTCTTGTAAACTTGAATCACTCTATCTCTAGTACTCTTGTGTAATGTAGGCTTGGGAATCATGTTATTCTCCTCTATTTCAAGACTGTATTTGTCCTCAAGTGTAAATTTTGGAAACAACTCCTTGATCTTATCATAATCTCTCAAGCACCCTTGTCCTTCGCCAAGCCTTACCAATGCATCAACACCTGCCATACCTGTTCCCCACTATGTTGTTTCCTCTTAGCTCCAATACTAAATCGCCTGTCTAGGAATAATTGCATGTTTCCCATAAGTCAAATATAGGTAACCCCCTACAATCAATTCAAAATTCCCCACTTTCTTTTTCAATACTAATACATGAAAGATAGAATGTAAAAGTGATGACTCTAGCAACTCCAACCAATAGGCAACCTTACTATCCCGTTGTGATACAATAAAGGACCCATCATACTACTTTACTATGAGAGCTTCACATTGAACCTCTTCTTTAGTGATTTCTGATAATATGGTTGTAGTTTCATGTACACAAACTCTCCCAGCTCAAATAGCACATTTTATCAATCTTTGTTATAATACTTCTTCATCCGCTTCTAGGCTTTTGCTAATTCCCTCTTCACACCTCACAAAGTCTCCTCCCTCAATAGTAACTCCTGATTCACTTCATCATTATTCAATATCCCCGACTCATAAGATTGCAACACAGTGTCATCCGGTTATACATCACCTCAAATGGACTCTTCCGGATTGATGAATGAAAAGTGGTGTTGTACCAGAACTCAGCCCATGCTAGATAATCCTTCCACCTCTTCTACTCCTCACTATAGTAATTCCTTACATACTCCTATAAGGTGTGGTTCACCACTTTAGTCTATCCATTGGTCTGTGGGTGACAATATGAACTCATCTTTAGCTTGCTCTCCTGCAATGCAAATAGCTCTTGTCAAAAAGAACTCATGAACTACTTCCTTCTATTAGTGACTATATGTCTTAGAATGTCAGGTAACTTGACCACATTATCAACAAATACCCAAGCTACACTAGCAGCAGTGAATGGATGCTCCAATGGAATGAAATGTGCCCCCTTACTCAAGTGATGCACCACTACCAAAATAGAGACAAACCCTCTACAAATAGGCAACCCCTCAACAAAATCCATCATCAAGTCCTCTAAATTACTCTCTAAAATAGGAAATGGCTGCATCAAAGCTATTGGAGCCCTCTGGTCATACTTCACCTTATGGCACACATCATATTCCTCTACATTCGCCTTTACTACTATCTTCATCCCTTTTCAATAGAAGAAATGCATCACTCTAATATAAGTTTAGAGCAAACATGAGTGTCCTCTGTCTTGACCAGCATGAAAATAAGATAGAGTATCTTTTCTCAATCCTGATGCTCTTGAAACATATACATAGCGCTTGTAAAAAAAATCAAGCTATCTTAGAACTCAAACCTCTGCACCCCGAAATCACCGTGTTCAATCCTTTCACAATGATCCCTAGCACGCTTATCTAAGTGCATAGCCTATCAAATGTGGTCCTACAATCTCCAATCAGTTCTACTATTAGCACATAAACTTGCATCATCCTCGTTGTACACCGACAAAAATATTGGATTCCCCTACTTTTACAAGAGTGCATCTGCAACTTTATTCTCCTTTTCTAGCTGATACATGATGTCAAACTTGAACCCGAGAAGCTCCATCATAAATTTCTGTTGTTTGAGAGTGACTATCTTCAGGTCC